CGTGCCTGATGCTGGCGGGAGCGGCCCTTCCTCTGCCAGACGGAGCAGGGAGGCCGGCTGGCTCCAGGCCGCCGCGGCTGGCTCTCGATCCACGACTCGAGCACGGAGCCTCTTGGGGAGGGCGGAGCGTGAGGGGCTGCCCGGGCTGTGCCTCAGCTGCCCGGCCGTGCGGCGCTGGCCCCGTGCACTTGCAAGAGGCTCCGGCCGAGGGCATCCCGGTGGCCAGTGCCCGGCGCAAGAAATGAGGCAGCAGTTCTCAAGTCCGGGCAATCCGTGCGGTCACCCAAGCCCTCCTGTGACTTGATCAGACGGCTGAGGCCATGAGCTGGGTCTGGGCCCCTGCACTGCCCCGCTGCTTGGCCGCATGGGCTGCTGGCGTCTGGGAGGGAGGGGGGCACAGAAGGGCCCAGTCCCAGGGGCGATGGCCCGCCAAGCCACTTCCGGCCCTCCAGGCCACGTGACGATGGCCGGCACTCTCCCGCCCAGCGCTTTGCACTTCTCGTGTCCAAGGTGGTACAGGGACCACCTGCGGCCGCCTGAGTGGGTGTCGGGTTGCTGGGCACACGCTCCTGGGCCCCCCACCTGTTTTGCCCCACGGGCACTCACCTCTGCTGACGCCCATGGGAGAGGACTGGCAGAAAATTCGTGGCAGTAACTTCTGTAGTGCAGGACTCTTGTCCCCCGCAGCCCCTGCCTGGAAGAGAGCTTGCCGGGGCGGCTGCCCGCGGCTGGTCAGCCCCAGTGCCGCCGGCTCTTTGCAGGGCCAGGGGACCCGCCCGTTGGCCCGGCCAGCCCGGCACCGGTCTCACCGGGAGTGTGACCCTTCGGTCTTACAAGTGAGGAGGCAAATAAAGGCAGGGCGAAGGGGAGACGTGCGCCCCCCCCCAAAAGCCACTGGCCCGGCCCCTGCGCACAGAGAGGGCCTGCCCTAAGCTTCCAGGTGCGAAACCCCTTTAAAGGCCGGCGCACGGAGCGGGGCCTCGCAGGCAAGCACCGTCACCGGGAGACCGTCCCTCCGAGGTCTGTGCTCCGAGGACCTGGGCTCTGAAGGCGAGGGACTGCACCTCGAGCCGGGCCCCGGGGGGGGGAGGGAAATCTGGCGCCCGAGGAGCAGCCACGGGTCTGCAAGGCGCGCGGCGGAGCGGCCCCTCCGTCTGCACGAGCTGCAGCTGGGACCCTTCCCCAGGCAGCCCCTTGGAGCACGAGCAGCAAGCCGGCTCTCCCCCAGCCCCGCGCCGGGGTCCCAGCTCCTCGCGGCCCCGTTTGGAAGGGGGCTGGGGCCCCGTGGCAGCATCCCGCTTTCCCGCTGGTCCAGCTGCAGGCCGAGGGCTGGGCCGGGCCATGGGGAGGCTCCCCAGGAGGAGGACCCCCCCTCACAGAATCAGACCGACCCGGAGCTTCCCTTTGGCTGACGCGCCCCACTCACCGTCCAGCACCGGGGTAAAGATCAGGCAGCCCAGCAGGCAGAGTCCGGAGCAGACTACCCGGCCCATCTCCAGGTTCTCCTGCAGGACAGCGCGTCTCAGCTGCGCCCCAGCTGCTGGCCGCCCCGCCATGCCAGGGGCCTCTGAGGCAGCGCTCCTGTCCCCACCCCACCCAAACCCCGGATCGGACCGCGCGCCTCTGCGTCTGCCCGGCTGGGCAACGTTTCACACGAAGCAGCAGGAACTCGGATTCCAGAAGAAACGCCTCCGCCTTGGACGGGCCGGAAGGCACCACGGCTTTGACCGTCCAGCGCAAAGTCACCTGTTCCTTGCTCTTTTTCTGTCCCCACCTTGCAAAGGAAGGGGCACATTTGTTCTATTTAAGAACCAACAATTGGCAGCTTTGGTATTTTCGAAGGGGGAGGGGGCCAGTGTGTTTCGGTCTTTTGTACTCGGTGTCTCTGCAAAGACATGTTAGAATATTGCGCATTACGGTCAGCAGCATCTCAAAGCCGTTTCTCAGCAATGCTGTTCCTCTTCCCCGTTCCTTCCCCATCCAGTTATTCTACCAACCTCCGAAACTCACGCTTTCCTTTGTGCTTCCCAGTTACTGCCCCCATTCCTGACTGAACTACCGGATCCGATTTCAGAGCAGCTCGGAGGAAGCGCTGCATAAAACAGAGACGGGCGCAGGCTGGCCACCCCTCGGCTGGAGCCTGTGCAGCTGCCGGTGCCCTGGGACAGGGCAGCACCTGCTCTCAGACCCGGACTGGATACGGCCCTGGGCTCTCGCCGTGCCCCTTCTCCTCCAGGCCGGCTGGTCTAGCTGCGATTCCGTTTGCAGGGTGTTCTGCAGAAGATGCTCGCACTTCCTGGGCATATTTATAGGGCTGGAGGCAAGAATAGTCTGGAAGAACAAACCTAGGCGTGCAGCCCCAGCCGGAGCAAAGAGAGAGACGAGCTGCTGCCCCGTTCAGGCTTGCCAAGCGTCCCTGGGGGGGGGGACGGGGGGGGGGGGGTCTGGCGCGGAGGGGCCGGGCCCGCGTGGCTGATCCCCGGCGGGGCAGCCGGCCATGCTCTGTTTCGCTTCCCAGGACCACGGCCGCGGCTGGGGGGCCACCTCTCGGAGGAGGCTGCTCCGCACAGGCCCGGGGACGCTCCCCGGCCCATTGCTTCGGCCACGGGGATTTTACTGGGGGATCCCGCGGGGGCCGTCTTGCGGCTCGTCCGTAATCTTCTGC